TTGGCACCTTGTTTTACTCACAATTGTTAAAGGGGGACCCTACATCGCTACTCCCAAAAATGACATGCTTCAAAAAAGTTTCTCAAGGTACACTAGTGGGAACTTCAAGAAATGTTCAACTCAGCTTTCCATATTGGGAAGAGTCCTCCCCTCTATTCTATTCTGGGATTTTTATCATCCCAATACTGGAGGCTCTGAGCATCTATGTGGAAATCTAACTGGTCTCCACAGTTGGATCTAGCTCCCTAAATCTATGGGGGGAAGCGGTGGGAACCATCCCCTTCTTTTTTTGTTTGTTTGTTTTGCATTCTTTTCTCCCACGTGACTATGGAAAAAATAACAAGGTATCAAGTATCTGGGCACATTTGTGGATTCCCGCAGGTGACCTTACCATTTCCTGGGAGAATAGGTCTCTATAGGAACCAAAACACAATCAGTGCTATTCAACTTCATCTTCACCATGATGTGCAGTTCTCTTCAGCCAGCTCCTACTTCACTGGCATTAACTCAGCACTAAGAAGTTGTAGAATTTGGATATATATTTTTGAAAACCACAGTAAAGGGGGATTTCAGGAGTCCATAATTTAATTATCTCTGCCTATAAGGATCCTTGCATTGAGCAATATCAATGCAGCAAGAAAACTAATGTATTTGAGATGCATCACGGCTAGACATTTCTGATCATGTGTTTCGATAGTCCTAAAACCATACCTCCATTAAACAGCATGTGGTGTAGTAAAGGGAAATATATACTGTATGGTATTTACGGAGTGTTTCAAGCAATAGGCAAGTTCATAGGCTGGTCAGCTGCATGAAAATAATTTAACTCAAATATTTGGCCATTCTCTTTTGTGCTAAATCAAGCACTAAAGAGTGCTGCAGAAATTTCCCCTAAAGAGACAGAATCACAGAGATGTTCTTAAGATATAGCAACTTTAACTTTATTCTCTGCCACATTTTTCAAAGGCATAGTGTGGACATGCAACAGCAATTTAATTACAGCGCTGGCTGTACATCAGTCTAATTCTGTAATGTAGACAAACCTGGTCTCTTTCACCAACAGAAGTTGGTCCAAGGAAAATATTATCCCACCTTTACAGTCTCTCTAATAGCCTCAAACTGACATGGATGCAACACTACTTCATAAATCAAGACGACATTTATCTTGAAAACTCAGTGCTATCGTGGTAGCTGAAGAAGAGCAACAGGGTTACATCATAAGGGATAAGGTGGAGGAAGGAGTTTTTAAACCTAGTCATGGAATGATCAGATTAGGAAAAAGGCAAGTGGGGCTAATCTGGTGAGATTGCCAGACAGAACAATGAGTTGCAGCCATCTTCAGTGGTGAAGG